ACTGTTTTCATTCTCTCTGGTGGGCGCGCGCGCACACACACACACACACACACACACACACACACACACACACACACACACACACACACACACACACGACGAGATAATGGGATGTCATCCAGCCTCCGTTGCCCCATGTGCCCTTTCTGCAGTGACAGAACAGCTGGGCCATTTAACACACTTGTGTGCTTTTCCAAGCCTTCTGACTGGTTCAACATGGCCAAAGCTTCCTAAACTCAACACAAAAACACAACTGCTCAGTTATTGTGCTTGCCACGCTAACAAACCACTGACCTGACTGACTAATGCTGGCTTTGCGTTCTATACATCACTGCATGACGTGAGGAGACTATCAATGATGGAGCATAATAAGCATGACTCAGACTCCCTGTCTGCCTGTGGAAGAGCTGAATGGAGGGGACAAAGGTTCTCAGGTGAGGCTGAGAATTCATCTTTGTCTCTTTCCGTCCTCCCTCAAACTTCTTTTTCCATCTTTCCCGTTCCCTAAACCGCAGCTGAAATCTGACTTTGTAATTCCTGTTCCTCTTCAAACTCATCCTCTGCACTACATCTTCACACTTAGAGGAATCAGCGTGTGGCCACATCAATAAATATCTGTATTGTGTCAGTGCATTTCAGACAACAGTCAACATGCAGGACCAATGTTATGCATCATCTCTACAGCTGTATCTCAACAGTCGCCTTATGACTTAGTAAAGTTTTTTTTAATCTAAGCCACAATGTAACATTGCTTAGTCCAGACCTCCAACTACCAGTTCTCAGATTAAATGTAGTTTTACGTCACAGCACCTTGGTGGGGACTATCCGGTTGTTCAGTCTGACGTCACTAGCCGTGTCTGGACCTAAACTCCGCTGCAGGTCCATATATGAAACGATCACTATGGCATTACTGAGAGTTGAAAAACTGTTTAAAGTCTTTCATCTTTAATAAAATGATCAGCGTTCTGCTCTACCAGGTGTAACAGTTGAGTTTAACATCCAGGCATCCATGAAAACGGAATTTATGACATTTAACGGAGTTAGAAGTTAGCAGGGAGTTAGCTCGCTAGCTTCTATCTAAATACAATATAGCATGTCCTGACTGCGGGGTTTTGGAAACAAATTAAAACGTACAACTCTGCTATCACTTCCAGCATAAATGAAGACAGAAAGCTAAACAGCAGTGACGTTTGTAGGGTTACTGAAGTTGGGCTAGCTGGTATATAATGATGTGCTACGTGACCGCTAGCGACACAGCTATGTTAGCATAATATAAACAAGCTAACTTTTTTTCCACTCGATAAAAGTTAACGTGAGTGTTCTCGGTGGTCAGGAACAAATGTAATCGCATGGCAGGATGCTGTAAAAGGACCAAACTTCAGCCAGGAGAACAACTGAGATAATCCATCCACAATACGAGGTTAGTCATTCATATACTGCTGCATGGGCTGGGCTGTAGTTACATCTAGGGATGGGTATTGATAAGATTTTAATGATTCCGATTCCATTTTCGATTCTGTTTAACGATTCGATTCTCTTATCGATTCTTTTTTAAAAAAAAGGAGAACACTAAAGTCGATTAGCTTAGAACTTTGTTTTATATCTTCTCTTTGAACAAGATAGAAATTTAGGAGTAACATGGCCTTACAAACCCAACAGTGAGATCTTAAGAGATCCACAGCCTACGGCTCTTCAATGGGGTGTCACAGGGTCCCCAGGAAAAAAAATGTATATGTAAAATAATAAAATTAATATTCTCCTGTAGCAATAACAAAGTTTAACATAAATTATTCTGTAGCAATTACACAAGAATATCCAGTAATGTCCTGCCTACAATTAAACACATTCACTTACCAAAGTGAAATCGGGGGCATCTGCTGTGGCAAATGGGTGCAAGCCTTTGACCACAAACTTAGACACTGCTGGGTGACATTCGTTTATCCTGGCCTGAAAGGAGACGCTACCGGTAGACTGCAGCGAGAACTGCCAGCATCTGAGCCAGACTCTGTCTGTCTCATCATGGTTATCTAAATGCAACGCACAGTAATAGCAGGTTTTGTAATAAGGTAAATCGCGCTAACATAATATGCAATGCTAATTGATTAGTTACCTGCAGTATTAACGGGAGAGGACGTGGAAACGCTACCGCTGCTGCTGGGTTGAGCTTCGCTAGTCCGGAGCGGATCAAAAACACGACATTCGTTGAAAGCAATCGCGTGTTTTTTGAGCAAATGCTTTTGCATATTCGTAGTGTTTCCTCCCTTTGATGAAATCTCTACTTTGCAAGTATTGCACGTTGCCCTGTTGTCATCCTTTCTCATAAAGTGTAACCAAACTTTTGAGCGTTTGCGCCGCTCAGGCGCCGTGTTTCCTACTGGGTAAAAGACGCTACTCAACGTGATGACGTCATTCGGGGCGACTGGAATCGATAAGGGAATCGTTTTTAAAAGTGGCAAACGATTCCAAGGAATTGAAACAGTGGGAACCGGTTCTCAACAAGAACCGGTTTTCGATACCCATCCCTAGTTACATCCTAAGGTTTTAAAAACTGAGCTTAAATAAATAATTAGCGGTAATAAAAGCCGAGGGAGGTCAACAGGGATCACTGACTGTTTTAGGAGCTTTTTGAGATCAAATAGAAGAAAATACATAACATTGAACATGTTAACAACACAAAAGCCATATTAAACGCAGACTACTTTAGACCCGGAAGTAGGATTCGTCGCGTCATCACTGAACAACCGGATAGTTTTAGCCACAACATGTTAGACAACAATCTAATAACAAATAAATAAAAATAAAAGAGACATGCAACACCCTTGACATTAACCATGATCAAATGAAACATCTGAAAGCTCTGCAAGGAATTTAATCCAGTACAGTAACCCCTCTCTGCATGTTTGAAATTAAAAATTAAACAAGGCTTTTGTAAAGAATTAAAGAATGTCTGCCTCCTTCCAACCATAAAACTTTTGTGCAGTCAACCAAATGTCTAACACTATGGAGATATTCTCAGTAATGAAACTCTGTATATGTCACAGTGACATTTTGTACTCACCATTGTTCTGTAAGAAAAGGTTGGATGGACTTCAAAGTTAAACCATCTCACGTTATCCATTTATAAAGCTCTACCACCAAAGTTCAATCTATAATTCACGTTCGTCTAAACTCCCAACCATAAATGTCCTGATTTGCACACTTATCACACTTATTAAGCGAAATGGTTGAGATAAGTTTCAACTCCTCAGTCTCTTAGAGACTTTAATTATTTATTTTTTTTAACAAGCTTTGAATAATTGTGTGCTCTGTTATCCTGCATCCGTTTCTTGTTCTCGAAACTGTTCCATCACTCTCATTAGACTCTTTCGAGTCCTGAAAGCTCCAGTCAGTCACTCATGCAGCATAAATTAATGAATGCTAGCCCGACTTAATTTTAGGTTCATGGACAGCCTCTGATGTACTAGAAGACTAGGTGGTGCAATTGTTTACCGGCAAATTGCCATTTTTTGTTTTTTCTTTTCATGTTTTGTTTTGTTTTTTTTTTTAAAGGAAGACATATGTAACCCATGTCAAGTATTGCGAACATATCTTAAAATAAGACAAGATTGAACAAGAACATGGGACAGGTGGGCTAATCTGATGAATATTAGCTGGCTTTAATGTTAGTGGAACACATCGACTCGATCCTCAAAAAGTGATTTACGCTGATTAAAGCTAAGCACGATCAGTTCCATGATCACAGCTATAAACAAACCCTGCATTCGATGTCGTACATTCAAGCTGTCGTTTGCTGTACTGAAGAAAGAAAGAGGAAAAAAAAAGACCAAAGAAAAGACAGCAGATGCAACGCACGACCTTTGAATCTCTCAGGAGTGAAGGATGGAGACCTCCTAAATGAAAAATTCACAGTCCTACTAAATTATTATTCTGAGCAGGACCCAAACAAAAGTAGTAAACTTTCTCTATAGCAAACTACATCTGCAGGTGGAGGCTATGTTCTCACAGGTGAAACACACGAGAATCTCACTGAGCTTAAAATTAATCTCGTAGAGCTCAGTTGAGCGTTGTTCACAGATCTGTTCAGAACATGTTCATGACCTAGGTGCTCTGTCAGTTTAGGCACATCAGAGCCTTGAGCTAACTGCCAATGTCAACATGCTGGTTATATTCTCTTTAGTGTAATGTGTTAGCATGCTAACTATTAGCACAAGCACAAAGTATTACTGTAGCTGACAGGAATGGCAGATTTTCGACTGCTAAACGTGACATTGGTGCAAAATGAAAGATCACACTTGTCAAAATTCACCATAGAGAATATAAACGTACCAGATTTTATACCAAACCATCCGATCCAACAGCTACAGAGATATTTCAGTGACAAATGAAAAGGTCAGGAGCTTCCCAAAGTCATTGATACAGTGTCCTGGAACCCTAGAAGTCTCAACAAGATTTCATAACGATGGACACCGAGACATTTCAGTGACAGAGCAACACTGTTTTCCATCCTTTCCTGGAGTCATACTAGAAAAATCTATATTTTGAACATTTTATCATCTCACAGCACATGATTTCGAAATACTAGAAGACGTTTTACTCAAGTTTTTAGGCAGATGGCCCTAAATGTCGACTTTGTTTCTATTATAGCCATCAAGCTAAATGTTAAGGACCACTTAAAGGCACCATATGCACCATCAAAATGTGACACAGCCACTGATAATTTGTCATATTTAACTTTCAATTGTTTAAAGCAATAAACCTCAGTGTGGCTAGAAAGTAGTGTGATGTTTCTTTGTTAAGATTTATTGAAGCATTTAATGACCTTTACTGCATAGCGCTCCTTCCATCTCTCCCTAATCTTCTGTCTGGCTCCACTCTGTATCATTTAATAAGGCAGAAATGTCATTCAAATGTCAGTTAGTGATACCTATAAGAAATGAAAAATATAAAACTAAAGGGGGTAGGGGTGGGGGGTGAAACAAACAAAAAAAAAAACGACTCACCATTATATTCTCATCTGTAGGAGAAGCTTGTTTTGTTTCCTTCTTTTATTCTTCTCCGTCACCATACGGATATGTTCTGTGTTTACTTCGTTCGGGCATATAACGCTCTGTTACATCTGACAGTCAGTTCTTTATTTTTTGCATCTTCCTGCAGAGTAGTAAGAGAACATGAGGCTCCCAATACTTTCTCCTCTTCCTGGGGTAGCTTCACTACTCCAGCTGTCCCACAGAGACGTCCAAACTCAAGGCGGTGGGGGTACTTCCAAAGCCGTCCCCTGAGCGATTGCTGATTTCTGCTACTGCTCAGATCTTGAGGCTTGTGTATGATGTGACTTTGCTGAGGATCAGATGAACTGAAGTTTTGTGCAAGTACCTGGCTACTGTTGCTATACTCGTGCCTTTAAGGCAATTGGAAGATTCCAGAGTGAGAAGTCTACTGCGTGGCTTAAAGCATCAGGTTAGTGAGCATGTGTCGCCTGCTGGGTAGATTAAAGCACCAGGATAGTGAGTCGTGACTGAAAGTTTACTTCTGTTTCCTGACTATCCAGAAGTTGTGTTTGCTGAGGTATACAGTTGTCTGCCTGAAGTAGAAAGTGTGAGCTTAATGAGGGTTTTCCTTTAGGTAAGAAGCAGACCAGGTTTGTGTTGATCGGTTCTATTTAGGCCGTGAACAGGTAAGGGCTGGCAGGTGGTTACAGGTCAAAGGTCTTTGCTCACGTCACGGTTGCACTGAGATCTTGAGAGGCAATACTGGTTGTCACGGTAACAACAGCGGCAGGTCACGGGTGTATTATTGCTTCGTGTTCCAGTCACTGGGCTGGCTGTTTCAGTGGTAGACAGTGGGAGAGGATCCCTGAGGTAAAATGGAAAAACACTGCAATGAGAAGAAGATGAGGAACTAATCATGGAAAGTAAACGGATGTTTCTTCCTTTTCTATTTCCCTTCGAGGTAGAAAGCAGATGTGGTTTTCTCTGACTGGAACCAATGACGGGAGGCAAAACTGTGCTGTCAAGTCTAATCTTCTACACTGGTAAAGAATGCTGGTGGCCAGAGTCTGAAACAAGTCGAATCTTGCCCTCTCATTCAGAGTGGATAGGGTCATTTAGGGGCTTCGCCTATGGAAGAAAAAAAGAAAAGAAAAACAAGTTAGAGAGGCAACCACATTGTGTTGGCAGAGGAAAAGACAGGCAAAAGTCAGTAGGGTCTGGACAAGATTTCCCTCTTGATCACAGAAGCAGAGGACCTCACAAAGGCTACATTTACACAGCAAAGGCCCACAATCGGTTGGCAAGTGCTTGCTGGCGATCGCTGGGTACACAAAAAACCTCCTTGTGATTACTTTGATCCATTTTTAAAGATTTTTTTTCTACAACCTTTTTTCCCTTGCCGAAAACAAGACAGCGATTATTCTCCTAAAACCTGAACTCATGGTATGCATTTCTAATTTCTCTTTGTCGACTTTATAGTGTTCGATAGAACAGCCGTCCCCAACCCCCGGGCCATGGCCTGATACCAGTCCTTGAGTCGTTTGGTACCGGGCCGCAAGAGTTGAGGCTCGGGTGTGAAATTTATGGTTTCGGGGTTTTTAATCAGTTTTTATCGTTTAGGTTTCCCTGGGTCTTTTCCTGTGTGTTATGAACAAATTTTGGTACAGGTACTGGTTTTATTTTGTTGTATTTATCGGTGACGCCTTAAAGGCCGGTCCATAAAATATTGTTGGACATAAACCGGTCCGTGGGGACCATAAAGTCACATTTGAGTAATGATGTGCAAAACTCTATATTTGGTGTCTGAACACAGCAGAATTTTTCCTGAGCACAAAAACAACAACTGTGAAACAACAACTGTGCCCCTTTGAGCCATATGGCTCATTTGAAAGAGCAAAATTTAGTTTGTGGTCTAGACAACCCAAAATGTCATGTCCCCATATGTGGACGGCAGTCCTAGGAGGTTAAGTAAAAACACTTGGACACATTTTGCATTTGATGCCAAGAACAATACGACTCTGTATAAACCACATGGAGCAACTTTTACCGGTAAAAACACAACAAACCTTAAATTTTAGTCAAATGAATCAACTTGTGATTTAGTCTACAAGAATCTTATGATATTTTATTTAATTAACAAGACTAAAATTACCAGAGTTTAGATGACAAAATTGGTTTTTATTTTACCTTTGTTTATACAGGTAGCCCCATTTAGACTCGATGTCTCATTTACAAGAGAGACAAACGTATTAAATGACAACAAAAATACAACAGCAATTAAATAGGAAATATAAAAAAAAAAAGAAGAGTCTAATGTTTACACAGTCATGTCAGAAACAGGAATACGTTCCTAGTGATGATTTTACAGGGTCATTTGAACGTCTTTTACATCTGCAAGTGAAATCAGCTGAGAGCTGCAAATCCTTCTGTAATGTTTTCCATGAACATGGAGCAGAAAAGGAGAATCCTGTTTTCCAAGTTCTGTACAAACTGATGGAACGATGAATGTAATGAAGAGACTGCAGACTATGACTAAGATGTTTATGTAACATGTAATCTGATATATAAGCAGGGAGTAAATCACAAATAGATTTATAGATTATACCAGTGAATCATCCTGCATAAGGCCAACGAGGGCCAGCCAGAAAATATAAAGTACAGTGATGTGTTAAAGGTTTACAACCAGTCATAAATCATAAAGTGTCCCGTGATAAACAGAGTCCGAAAGATGGTGAGAATGAGCAAAGGTGTTCGTGTAAATTATATCACCGTAATCTAGGACGGGTAAAAAAGTGGTAGCAACAAGCCTTTTTCCTGCGGTGAAAGAGAAACACAATAGATTTCAGAAAAAGAGGCCCAACTTCAAGTTTCCTTAACAGGTGCTCAATGTGTGGCTTAATGGAAAGATTATCATCAATCACAATACGCAAGTATTTGCATGAGGTCACAGTTTCAATAGATGCCTTGAGCAGATACAAAAGAGGGAAGTGCTGCAGGCTGAAGAGCATTTAAAAGCAGTCTGACAGAGGTGAGAGTGTACACAATCAGCTAGTTGTAACTGTTCAAAAACCATGTGGACGGAGGAAGGAGACAAATTTCCACAGTCGCCTGCGCTTTTCATAAAACTAAACTTTTACTTTGAAGGCAAACGGTCTTCAGGTTCACTGCAGCTTAGAGACCAGTTTGCAAGGCGGGCAACCTCAGCAACCAGCTACTGACCAAAGCAATTGCAGGGAGGGTTTTGGGACAGACCTGTATACCTCCTTGCAACCAATTTCATGCTAGCAGCTGCAATCAACCTTGAGCAAACTCTTTACTCAAAGACCAGCAGTGCTAGGCCTGTGTGACCAGGGATTAGACAGATTATCGGGGCAACCCATGAGCTGCTGCTATGGTTGAGGATTAGGTCTGTACAGGTGAAGAATCTTCTTGGGAAAGATCACAGCAGTGATGTCACCCAATGTATAAAATGAAAAACTAGACTCAGATGTTAAAGTCACATTTTGTTGACCCAGCCATCATTTTTGACCATTTCTAAGAATTTTTTTTGCAAAGTGCTTTAAGTCAAATGGATTTAAAAAAAAAAAGAACACTTTTTTAAATTACAAATTAGAGAAAGATCACCATCAAAAGGTCAGGACTCTTATTTGCTACAATTTGCTTTTTGCCAAATTAATATTCTCTCATGTTAAGATTTGGCAACAACTATTCAGATCGATAAATATTTGTTTTGGCTCTTGTTCGGCTGTGCATTGAGCTTGATTCTTAGAGCAACAAACAGAGCAAATCTTTTTGTCAGAAGTTACTGTGGCAATAGGCAGAAAGGCCCATTAGCAGATTCTGGGGTCTTAAAGAGGTCAAGAGTGGCTCACATGCAATTTAGCACTGCTGGATGCTTTCATTTGATTCTAGCTGAAGTGTAATATCGCACCATCCTCTGCAAGTCTGCGTGCATTACAATGAGTGTGGCCACAGGGCTGCTTATGCAAGTCGTGCAATCAGTTGCTTAGTTACTTTTTCAAATAAAGAATCCCAGTGTAAAGGCAGTGTTTCTGACTCAGTCTGTTTGGAGGTTCTATAGTTTTGTCATTTTTAATGAGTTTTTAATTTTATTTCATTTGTTTTTAATTCATGCTTCTGTCAGTTTAGTTTTTATTGTTTCAAAAGGTTTCGTTTTAGCTTCGTTTTAATCGTTTCAGAGTTTATATTTGTCTTTTTAATTGATCTTTTTAGGGGTGGCAGTATCTCAGGAGGTAGAGCAGATCATCTACTAATTGGAAGTTTGGCAGTTCGACATTTGTGTGAATGAGACAAGTTGTATAAAATCGTCTTTGTGCTCAGTGAGAGTCGAAAAGCACTATATAAGAACCAGTCCATTTAATTGTTACTGTGTGAAGGGCCTACAGGAAAATCAGCACAGGTATTACTACTCTATTTGAAAGAAGCTGACTCAGTCTTGTAGACATCCAGAGTCTCAAACACATCTGTCACCGACTCGGTGACGTAAAATGTATAATAATAGTTTAACCAAAGTAACAGATTTCCTCTATATTTCTATTTTTAGTTAGTTAGTTGTACTTTTTTTCCAAACGTCTGAATGTTTTCTCACATCTAGTTTTAGTCAACTATGATAACCCTGCTACGTGCCTGTGGAGCGTATCCAGTTGTGAGCTTGAAGAGCTCCATGTGGGTGCTACAGTTACCTTTCAGCCAAAGTGTGGGGGAGGAGGTGTTACCAGTATAGCTCACAATACAATGAGGTAAAGGTACAGTAGGCTACACTCCATAACTCCAACCCATAATCCAGATAAGCACTTCATTGTCAGTTTGTGTCGGTGGCCCTGTGTAAACCCCTGAGTTGCTTGTACAGCAGGAAGGCGCGCTGGGAGTGGTAGAGTACTTCACGGAAACGCTCTCAAGCATAATCAAGACGCTTCAACACTGGCTGCATTTACATACATTTGTTCATGTCAGACATGTTAAACAAGAACAGTGATTCATGCACAGCAGAAAAAAACCAAAGCAGCAGTATGCAATGACGTGCTTCCTTACACGTCAGCGCTTCTCTGTAGTGTCGATAGAGCTCATAACCAACAAATGCATGGAGGTCATTTTGCATCTGCTAGAGCTACAGGACTTATTTAGTATGCAAAGCAGCTACTGGGTGGAAAGTCTATTATAGGCACCCCCATTTAAATGCACACACACACACACACACACACACACACACACACACACCCTGTTAATCTCCCTCCATCTGTGCGAGCTGGCCTCGGGTTCTCTGTCAGACACACATTTCATTGTGTGACTATCTGGCTCATTTAGACTCATGCAAGTCAACTTCATGCTAAAGACACATATCACCTCTTCTCTCCAGAGAAAATGTGAAAGTCGAGCCTCATTTTATTTTTTCTATTGAGGGTCCTCCATCAGACTGTAGCTGGATCACACATGTTAGCTTAAAGATAGCAGCGCACAGATTAAAATGACAGCCTTTAATTGTTTAGTAGTATTTGTATTACCTTTATATTTTTCAAGGCTCTTGTTCACATAAAATAAACCAATTAAAGAGCGTTGTATATTCAGATACCTACACAGAAGGAAACCCCACACAGAAAAGCTCCAGCCTCCAGCAGGTTCCTCTCATGTATAAAAATTTCTATATTAGTGGTTTTCAAATATGTAAAGGTGTGCCCTGTGCATTTATGTCTGCAGAAACAATGCGATCTCACAGCAGTTCCTGAAATAAACACAGTCTCTATCTTGCTTCTGAACACAGAAACACACAGAAACATCTGGATGTTTATCTGTGTCCCTCAGTGAGTTTGTCTGTCCAGCATGGATCCACTGATG